CGCTTCCTTCCTTCCTTCCTCCCTCGCTTCCTCCCTTCCTTCCTCCCTCACTTCCTTTCTTTCTTCCTCTCTCCCTCCTTTCCTTCCTCCCTCCCTCCCTGTCAGCCTTCATCCCTCACTTCCTCGCTTCCTTCTTCCCTCCCTCACTTTCTGCCTCCCTCCCTCACTTCCATCCTTCCCACTCTCGCTTCCTTCCTTTCTTCCTCTCCCTCACTCTCTCCCTTGCTTCCTTCCTCCTTGCCAGCTTTCCTTCCTCCCTCCCTCACTTCCTCGCTCCCTCCCTTCTTTTCTTCCTCCCTCACTCCCTTCGTCTCTCCCTCTCTCCCTCTGTCACTTCCTTCCTCCCTCCCTCGCTCCCTTCTTTCCTCCCTCACTTCCTTCTTTCCTTCCTCCCTCACTTCCTTCTTCCCTTGCTTCCTTCTTTCCTCCTTCACTTCCTTCTTTCCTTCCTTCCTCCCTCCCTCGCTTCCTTCTTTCCTCCCTTCTTCGCTTCCTCCCTCACTTCCTTCTTTCCTTCCTTCCTCCCTCCCTCGCTTCCTTCTTTCCTCCCTTCCTCGCTTCCTTCCTTCCTCCCTCACTTCCTTCCTTCTTTCCTTCCTTCCTTCCTCCCTCGCTTCCTCCTTTCCTTCCTCCCTCCCTCCCTCTCTTCCTTCTTTCCTCCCTCCCTCTCTTCCTTCTTTCCTCCCTCGCTTCCTTTTTCCCTCCTTCACTTCCTTTCTTTCTTCCTCTCTCCCTTCCTTTCTCCCTCCCTCCCTGCCAGCCTTCCTCCCTCACTTCCTTCCTTTCTTCCTCTTTCCTTCCCTTCCTTCCTCATTTCTTCCCTCCCTCCTTTCTTTACTCCTTCCCTCACTTCCTTGCTTCCTTCTTCCCTCCCTTCCTCCCTCCCTCACTTCCTCCCTTCTTTTCTTCCTTCCTCACTCCCTTCCTCTCTCCCTCCATCCGCCACTTCCTTCCTTCCTCCCTCGCTTCCTCCCTCTCTTCCTTCCTTCTTCCCTCGCTTCTTTCCTTCCTCTCCCTCCCTCTCTCCCTCCCTGGTTTTTTTCCCCCACTTCATCTCAGAGGGGTGCATCTCTATCTGCTCAAATAGTGAGAAGTGCTGTGGCACCTCAAAGACTAACCAATTAATTTGGGCATCAGCTTTGGTGGGTGAAACTCACTTTATCAGTCTTTGCCCACCAAGCCGATGCCCAAATCAATGTTAGTCTCTGAAGTGCCACAGGACTCTCCGTTGTTTCTCCCTGCTCGGGGAACACCAGCAGAAAGGGACATTTGCTTTCCCCTGACCCCCTCCAACCCTCCTGCTGCTAGCCAGGGTTTCCTTCAGCTTCCTCTGCCCCCTCCCCCATGGCTGCTGGCCCAGCCCTCCTATTGGTGCGGTTTGAATTACAAGCGGGATGGGGGAGAAGGGGAAAACGATTTGGTGAGGGGACCCCGAAGAAGAATCCGCAGGTTCCTCCAACGCGCCTGGTTTCCTGTACTGTACAGGGCTCAGGAAGCACTGGGGCGTACAGCAATTCGGGGCGAAAGCGTGCGCAGTGGGACATTGCTCTGTGGCAGGGCAAGACAGCCCAGGTGCCTGCTGGGCAGATCCAGCTCTACAGAAAAGGGAATTAGGCAGAAGTCTCTTAGGTGCAGCATGCACGAACTGGAAGTTTCCTAGGTAAGTGGGTCTAAGTACCTGTTCTCTTGGCCTGACAGAAAATCTATCGCTAGGTGTTGTGAAGCCTGCGGAAAGTTCACTTCCAGAAACGTACCTGCTGCTAAGCCATGGAGTGGGTGGTGCGGCATTCATGCACACACAAGGTCGGTGCAAGCAAGCGGTGTGTGCGTGCTTCCATTTCAAGCTCCAGGAAACAGGCACCATCCAGGTACAGCCCTAAGAGACGTTTGCATGAAGGCCAATTGGACCTGCTCCCCTCCCTGCCGTGTCCAGACTCAGGGGTTTTTTCGGGAAAAGTAGCCTTTTCCCGAAAAAACTTCCCCTGCGTCCAGACTCAAGCCGCGTTCTTTCGAAATTATTTCGAAAGAACGCGGCTTTTCTTTCGATGGCGGTAAACCTCATTTCACGAGGAAGAACGCCTTCTTTCGAAAGTTCCTCTTTCGAAAGAAGGCGTTCTTCAATGTAAAGAGGCCGTCTTCAAAAGAGAGCATCCAGACTCGCTGGGTGCTCTCTTTCGAAAAAGCGGATTTCTCTTTCGAAAGATCCGCCTGCAGTCTAGACGCGATCTTTTGAAAGAGGATCTTTCGAAAGAAGCCTGCAGTCTAGACATAGCCCCTGTGAATTCAGAGTGAGTTCCATTTTCGGCAAGGTGACACCGAGCGCTACCGGAAGTGCAAACGGCAACTCCAAAAGCAAACTCAGAAAATAAAACACAGGGGCAGAGCAACGATCAGAAGCACCAAGTGAGGCCAGAGAGATGACAGCAGATAAGAGACTGTGCATCAGATTTTAAACATCTAGAACATAACACTGGCATGTCTGGTAGTACTTTATAGACTAACAAAACATGTAGGCTGTAAAGTGCTACCAGACATTTGTTGTTTTTTCCTGTACAGACTAACTCAGCTACCCCCTGAAACATCTAGAACATAGGTTCCCAAACTGGGGGGGGCGTGAAGAAATTCCGGGGGGGGGGAGGCAACCCAACCCCCCCTCCATCAATCCCCCCAAGAAAGAGCCCGGTCTGTGCAGCTCGGGCTGGCTGAGGCAGGGGGAGGATGGAGCATCCCAGGCAAACGTCAAAATGGCTGCCTTAAAAGGGCAATGCCTCTTCTGCTCTTAAAAGGGCAACCTTTTTTTTTAATTATTTTTGCTCAACAAGTTTTGCTGCTATTTTGGGGGGGGGGGGGGGGGGAGGATTTCTCAAAAATCAAAAAGGGGGTGTGATGCCAAAAAATCTGGGAATCACTGATCTAGAAAGCCAAGCCAGAACAAACGACATGCTGCCTGAACTCATGGCAGACGGGACACATACACTTCGGAAACCTGCACACTTGCTCAGTGCATTTAGAAACTGAAGCACCGTCTGACAGAGGGGTTTGATCAGGTGAAGAAGTCACATCAATATCCCAATTTTTAACTGTATAGGTCCAGTAAACACACCACTAATCAAACTCTTCAATACACAGCACAGATTAATCTCTGCACCGCTTGTTTCTGAAAACAGTGAATACTATGGTATTAAGAAAAAAGAGCTCTGGGAAATGACTGCACATGTCTTTTCCTGGGGCAAGGAGGTAAATTCGAACTCCTGAGAACACATGAGGAATTCTCAGGCCAGGTCTACACTGGCACTGAAAATCGATGTAAGATACACAATTGCAGCTATGTGAATTGAATAACTGGAGTCGATGTACCTTACATTGATTTTCTGGGGCAGCTGTACAGCAGGAGGTTGATGGGAGAAACACTCCCGTCGACTTCCCTTACTCCTTGCAACTGGAAGAGTACCACGGTTGATGGAGGGCACCCTCTGCTTTCGATTTAGTAGGTCTTTACTAGACACACTAAATCGAACCATGGAAGATCGATCGCTGGAGCATCGATCCTCTGGTAAGTATAGACAAGGCCATAGTCCCAATACCAAACCTGAGAAAAACAGAGCCAAACTTCCAGTCACACACACAAAAGGATATAGTTGGGTTTTACCCCTTCAGGATGGTTCTGTTTGGGGCTAATCCACCTCCGCAAGAGCTTACCCTTCTTCCCTGGAATAGAGCCTTTGGGGCGTGTGCCCCTGCTCGTGGAAGCAGATGTACTGCTATGAACGCGGGGCTGTCTTGTGAAGGAAGTGAAGTGAGCAAGACTCCCCAATTAATAGCATCAAACACACCCCAAGCAAGCCAGTGGAGATTTGATCTAAGCAAGATCCTGCCATTCCTCCCCACTCGGGTGCAGGCTGAAATAACACTGGGCCCCACCACAGGCTGTTTGGCCTGTGGCCTTCAGGGATTTGTCACGTGTTCAGAACGGGGATGGCACATCTCTCCCCGACGGTGCAGGGTGTTTCTCAAGGTGTGACAGGTTCTGGCTGCAGCTGGCCAGGAGGGATCCCGAGGAGTAGCGGGGCCGAGGAGGTTGACAGACGGAATACAGACACACACCAAGCAACGCCACAGGCTCCCGCCTTGGAATGGCCAGGATGCCCCTACACTGTCGGTGCCTGCTGTACAACCCCGGGGAGGGTGTTCAATAGGGAAGGTGGAGACCGAGCTGGGGCCCCGTTTAGGGTGCAGTGGAATTGCGAGCCTTAGGCTGGCTCCACTGAGCCGGTCTCGCACTGGAGAAGGGAGGAGAGACAGCCCAGCCTTTACTCCGGGGTCTCTCCAGAACCCAGAGGTGCTGCACCCAGGACAGAACCAGCACTTGGTGTATCCGGCCAGAAGACATGTATCGACTCTTGTGGCAGATCAAGTAGCAGATCTTTAACACCCATGGGCCAGTTCTATTCCCTGACTCACATGAGTCACCCGAAGATGTGGCCCCACGCGTCTTTTGTTCCAGTCGGTTCTCGGAAAGCAGCTATAGTTCTTCCTGCCCTCATGCCCTAGTGAAACCAACGCACGTTCATGGCACTCAGCACCTCGTAAGACCTGACTTTAGAGCCTCGCTTGTCTCACCACAAGACAAGTGAGCTGGTCTGGCTGGCGAGGCATTGCTGCTCTTTTCTGGGTAACATCGCTCTATTCTGGGTTTTACCAAACCCATTTACAGCAGATCCTTGGAGAAGGAAAAATATTCTCCACCAGCGCAGTTCTCGATCAGCACTTACATTTTTTTACACTGACAGCTTGGGGCCATAAACAGTTTCCAAAGGAGCATTCACCTCCCCCTCGGTAAAACTAGAGTGAGAATAGCAAAGGCCATTGTTGACTCTGCATTTATACTCCCCGGGTTACTTATGCAAATGATACAAACATCACGCAGCCATTTACGGTGGCCTCTGACACTGATCTGTCAACTATGTTCGGTTGAATGGTGGGAAACGCGAGTCACTTACCGTACAGAATTGTAACGAGGGAAACGGGCATGACCAGGATCCCCACCAACATGTCTGCCACCGCCAAAGACATGAGGAAGTAGTTGGTGGCGTTCTGTAGTTTTTTCTCCAAGGAGACAGCCATAATTACAAGGATATTCCCTCCAATAGTCAGCACAATGATCACCAGAATCAGGAGGGCTGGCCAGTTCTTTTCCTTCATGGACATGCGAGAGACTTCTCCCCTTTCAGAGGTGTTAAGAGGGTCAGATGTGGGCAAACTCTGATTCAGAGTCAAATTGCTGCTTAAGGGCCAAGCCATCAGACCACCATGCAAACTAAAATCTAGCGTCACCGACACCGTCGTTAAGCTGACTAATATCCCAGTGCCGCTTACAGTGCTCATTATCTCTCACTTAATTATTCTTCAGCGTTAATTTCTTTTTCAAATGGAGGGTCCGAGGCAGCAACCAAATTTCACAACACCAGAGCCAGAAAACTCTTGGATCTTCCATTGTGGACTAGCCCTTACAGAAGTTGGAGAGAAGCTCTTCTGGATTTCCTCTGATATGGTGTTTCGTGACCACTGGTTGGCCGCCTTGGGACATGAGGTTTCATACTGTTCAGCTCATCTTCACATCCAGCATTCTGCAAAGAAAAGAAAAAGGCATCTTCTTTTTCACTGAAGCCACAGAACCCCCAAACGTTCTACAACCCCATGCAAACATCATTCTCCTCCTGATGGTTACAATGTTCCCCAGACTGCATGTCATTTCTCTGGTGGGGACAGAGCAGGCCTATAAGGGGGGGGGGAAGGGGGGAATCCAATCAGTGTGTTCTGGCTAGTTAAAAGCAGATTATTGCCAATTAAAAGTATTCAACTGATTAAAAATTAAAATGAAATGAAACCAGCAAGAGCAAGTCTGAGACATGTTTCAGCTGATCGCCACTTCACCGATCTGTAGTCCCACATGCAGAGGTAGCTGCCCAATGCTAGAAACACATGGTGGTTGCCTGGTGAAAGCACAATATGAATTATCATCTCACCGGAGGAATTGGGATACATCTGGCCCGCTGAGAGATGAAGGTGTCATTGAAAACATTAGGGCCAAAATGGTGATGACGGCCGCAGTAAAGGAGACGATCTTTTGTGTTTGTTTTGACAAATGTGTGGTCAATCAAACCCGACATGTAGTCTCATCGGACAACATCGCTGTCAAGCTTAGCAAACAAACAGACAAAACCCAGCGGAGGGTGAGAGACAAAACCTGGCTGGACTAGACCAGTATTTCTACACTTGTCTTCAGCCCTTCGAGTGCCTTTGTGAGCAGGAGGCAAGCACACAATCAATTTGGGGCCCAAGTCCTGTTCAAGCTGGCCTGGCGCCCTGCGACATCAGTGCAGCGCAGCAGGTCCGGATCAGCTGTTTGTTGTGGACATCTGTTTTCAGGCCAGAGCGCCTAAAAGTCTGGTTTTGCAATTGACAGGTTCTTTTTTCGTAAATCGTTTCAAGCCAGAAGGGGCATTTGAACTAGCTGGGCTGACCTCCTGTCTCAGACAGGCAGAGAATTTCACCCAGCAACGCCTGCTCTGACCCCACTAATTTTTTTTATGATCCCAGGGCAGCTAGAGACACAAGCATGCCGGACATGCTTAGTCGAATTGGGGCCTTAACAACTCAATTGTTTTAACCACTGATCCCGCACCAATGAAACCAAAGGGAAACTGGCTAGCTACGTAGGAGCAGGCTCCTACTGAAACATCAAATTTCATAATCAGCAATGAGAAGAAACTATGAAACAAAGTGCACGAAGCATCAGCAACAGGAAATACAGTTTGCTTTCAGCACATTTCTCAGCTTCTTGTTATCCCCTACCGCATGCAAGTGATATTACATCATCATGGAAAAAATAAGGACAGATAAGCCACTCTAATATATTGTTTGCTGGTGATCCGTCACTTTGCTATCCAAGGATCAAAAAGCTAAATGTAATTTACAGAATTAAATTAAATGTTCTGTATGTGCTCAGAGTTTCACAATAAAATGTTCAGCGTTCGCCGTGGCTTGGGTTACTTACTAATCGGTTTCACGTGGAAAAACATTTTTTTAATTAGCAGAGTCTATGGTGAACCCAGGCTTGCTTCTGAACTAGAGCTAATTCCTTCCAAGGGTCTGCAGACTTCATCGTTAACGAGAAGTCTGGGCAATTTGCACAGAAAATACTAGTGCAGAGGCAAATAAAGTAGCAAATCACTAGTAAGCACTGATTTACTTAACTGTAGTGCTCTACAAAATCCCCAGTGACTTACCAGTAAATTGCAAAATACTTTCAGAATATTTTTATGTAGCACAATATTCATATTAAAATTATGCAGTGCTCCTCACTTAATGTTGTAGTTATGTTCCTGAAAAATGCTATTTTAAGTGAAACTAAGTTAAGTGAATCCAATTTCCCCATAAGAATTAATGTAAATAGGGGTTGTTAGGTACCAGGATTTTTTTTTCCGGCAGACAAAAGGCTATATATGTACAGTATAAGTTTTAAACAAATTATTTGGGGGGAGGGGATATTTACTCCTTCCATAACACAAGAACTAGGGGTCATCAGATGAAATTAATAGGAAGCAGGGTTAAAACAAACAAAAGGAAGTATTTCTTCACACAACGCACAGTCGACCTGTGGAACTCCTTGCCAAAGGATGGTGTGAAGTCCAAGACTATGTGTGTGTTTGAGAGACAGAAGCAGACAGAGACATGCATTGCCCTTTTAAGGACATTGATCCCACTTCATGTACACTGCCCTTATAAGCAGACCAGGAATTCCTGACACAAGACTCTGGAGCTGTGATACCCTCAAGGCCTCAGGAGCCAAATTAGCAATCAACATGACCCAAACATCGGTTCATTGCCTCCCTCTATGTATTAGTCTCACTGCAAAATAACCAACCAAGTGTTCTGCAATTGGTTAATGGCGTGGTAAAAGCATTCTGATTGGTTAATTAAATCACACAGTGTTTTAACCTCATGTGCTGCAAAGAGCTGCAGGAAACACGTACGAGAGAGCAATGCCGCTCCTACGCCTCAGGCTGAGGATCTTGGTTCTGAAGCAACGGGGCCCTAAGCCCAGGCAGTGTTCCCAAAGGCCATTGCAATGGAGATAGCGAAGCCGGTATCTGCTAACCATTCACGTCCCATTGCCACTCTGACCTCGCTAACTCTGGTCATGCTAGCAAAGCAAGCAGGAATTGCCCCAAATTTCAATTGGAGAGTAACTCGGCCACGTTTATTGCTGCTGCAGTGTATGACACGATCATATTACAGTCCAATATATCACTCTGCCGAGAACGCAACGGAGCACATTTGGAACGGATTGGAAAGAAAATGCAGTGGGTTAAACAGAGACGTAGAGCGAATGCACCATTGTGAAGAACTGGTGCGAATGCTTTCCTGACACCCGGAGCACATGATCTCAAGAAGGCTCAGCAAAATGAGGTCTTGCCTGGAAGACATCAGGATCATAAGTAAAAGGCAACATTTTAGAAGGGAAGCAGCCAACACAGTGTCAGACTAGAAACGAATAATGTGGGTGAAAAAAGGGTCAGAGGCAGAATTAACATTTCCTAGGAAGAGAAGTCTTCAAGGGAAATTAAAAACGAGGAGCAAAGAATCTGAAACTCAGGATTATTTTTCATTTTCCATTTTCAAATTTTATCAACGCTCCCATCACATTAAATATCTTGGGCGCTAACATAATCCCAGCCCAACCAACTTAATGAGAAAATCTTCCAATCCTAATGAGAAAATCAGGCCTTGAACACCAAGAATCCAGGCAGACATCCTCCAGCAGGGAGCTGTGCCGCGGGTTTTGTGAAGCAAAAGCTCCCAACACCAAATCAACCAGGACAACAGGCTGGGATGGACACGAAGGGCACCTTGCTACGTCACATGTCCAACTACACATCCAGAAGGAAACTCTTCCGTGACCAACCTTACACACCACAGCAGGCGCTGTTCGGGTACGTCTACACTAGCCCCCAGTTAGATCTAGAGAGGCTAATGAAGGTGACCGAAATTGCAAATGAAGCGCGGGATTTAAATTTCCCACGCTTCATTAGCATGTTCCCTGCTGGTCGCCATTTTAGAAATTGACTAGCCCGAAGTAACTGCCCGCGTCTACACGCGGCAGTGAAACGGGATTCTGAATTAAGGCCCTAACTCCAATTAGCTGTTATTCCTCCTGCAATGAGGTTTACCAGCTAATTCGAGTTAGGGCTTTAATTCGGAATCCTGTTTCACTGCTGCGTGTAGACGCAGGCAGTTACTTCGGGCTAGTCAATTTCTAAAATTGCGACCGGCCAGGAACATGCTAATGAAGCGTGGGATATTTAAATCCCATGCTTCATTTGCAATGTCAGTTGCCCTCATTAGCCTCCCTAGATCGAACTAGGGGGCTAGCGTAGACATACCCTTATAGACAGACTCTGGAGTAGACAAAAAGAAAAAAAAAAACCACACAGTCCTCTCTTCGCAATTTTCCAAAATGAAGCCGGTTCTTCAGCTACTCCTGTGCTGTGAAACGTCGGGTGCCCAGAGCCATATTTGATTCCTCTGTCTGCCCCCCGAAGGCAATTTGCATTCAGCAAGATTATTACAATGAGGAGCAAACCGTTTCTCAGCCAGCCCCGAGGAAAGCAGATGCCCCTCCTCGTCTTGGTGCTGCTAATGAGCAGGTCGCATGCACAGAAACAGAGCCTTTGGGAACTACTTAGCAGGCAAAGGGGGTTTGCAAATCGGGTAGAAGTAGTTCCTCATCTCTTATAAGGAACGATAATTGAACAGTCAAAAATCCAGCATGTGTTCTTGGCCTTCTGCTTCCCTGTACCTGTCAGCAGTTAGAGCTGTGCACATCATTACCGCAAGAGAGCGATCTGCCTCTGAAATTCAGGAAGGGAGTTAATGCCGGATTCAGGGCTGGAAGGGTAAACAATTAACCTTCCCAGCGGGGCTGAGAAACATGGAATTGCACCTTTTCAACCCGGCCCACTAGCTCTTCTCAACAGGGACACGGGGGGAGCCGTCACGTCTGTGGCACAAAACGGGAGGAAATGGCTTGAGCTATGGCGACGCTGCAGGGCCTACGAGTTTGGGTGCAGTTAGTAGGGAATCAGGTGGAAACCTCTGGGAGGTCGCTGGGCTGACTCTAGCGAACCTGAGTGAGCAGACGGCGGCGAACAGGCCATCTCAAGGGCAGCGTGCTTCTGACAGCAGGAGCCCCAAAACCTTTCCCTTTCAAGTCAACAGAAAGTTCTGCCCAGCAGGCCAGACCTCGCCCCCCGCACCCCTTCAACAGCCTTTCCACCAGAGCGGTCCACTGGTGACAGGAAGGGAGCCTATCGGGACAAAGGACCGTGCACCGGGGGGAGACGACTCTTACATTCTTGGGCATCCCAGTCCTGCTTCTACACTGACAGCTGTGCATCTCCCGGTCCCCACAAAGGAAGAGGAGAGGGACCAGGTTCTGCAGCGTGCCAATCACATAGGTCTCCTCAGCCCCAGAGCACCCCTGTCTCCATCCCCTATTCCCCAAGCCCAGAATCCTCAGCATTCGATGGGCAAGCCATGCAGAGCTAGCAGGCATGGGAGCCAG